ATATTGATTAATATTTGAGATTTCCAGCATTTGTGGCTTTTTTTGTTTGTTTTTGTTTTTTTTTTTAAAACTCTGCAGAACTTCACAGAAAAGCTGTGCCCTCACACTACTGCAACTGCATGCTCTTTGTGAGACAGTAAGGCCTGCCTTTCAGGACTTGAGAAGCACACAGGAAACAGTCACACCCGAGATGCAGTCTAGCCAAACATCCCTGACAAAGTCAAGGATGAAGTCTAAATATCCAAAGCAGCATTCAAACTGCCCTAAGCATAAGAACATGTTTTCTTCTTCTGAAATCCCCTGCTGAAATCACTGTGTATCTACTGCACTTTGGATGAAGTAGAGGGCCCACATACAGTAGTCTTCTTCACAGCAGACATCTGCTCTACCTCCAAAGAGGGAGCTTCCTATAAATCAAGTGAGGCAGGACCCCGGTGCAGAGAGCCAAGACTGGCTGTGATTGATTGCATACTTCAGGTCTATGATAAATCATACATGCGGCAACATTGTCTTCTTCCCGCAGCCCCCCTTTCCTCCAACGATGCAGGACCGTTTACCCAACGGGTTTCACAAATACTTCCACAAGGACAAGAGGATGTATTTACATGAGCACTTTAGTTCTGCTCATGAGTGCAGTTTGATTGGAAATAACCCAATCATCACCATTTACCATGCTTTGGTTTGCGCTGTGGAGTCACCTCAGAGTGCACAACCTGGACTTCTTTTGGATTAAGGCAAACGCTACAGAGAATGCTCTGCAGATCTACTCCTACTGGGCTACTACTGTGAACTAATGCAGGCTTAGCGCTAGAGTCCTCCCCTTTGAAAAAGAGCGTTTTGCATCCATGGCAAGCCATTCTCTACTGACTTCCTGGGCTTAGAAGAGACCACTCAGAGCTCAGGATGTCTCTCCTCAGGCAAGACATCCAGAAAAACCAATCCTGCAAGACTTACAATAGATCAGAATAGAGGGGAGGGATGGGGGCAAACCAACCAATCAACCGACATCGAAACACCCAACCAAAAAAAACCACAAGAAAACAACCACTGCCCCCCCCCCCCCAAAAAAAAATCCCCAAACAAAAAAAAAAAGAAACACCACTCAACCAAGAGCCAGAACATGCTCAGTTGAAACAATATCTATGGAATTTGTTTTCTAAAAATTTACCTAGTTCCACACAGTGGGATTATTAAATGCTTACACCTAGATCAAATTCAGACCTTCCTTTGAGAGACTGAATTTAAAATACACCTGTGACACAAACACTATCTCTGGCCAAATCATGATTTTACTCCAAGGCTTGCAAACATTTAAAAATAAGTGCTTCAAAAGCTTAATATTGCAAATACAGAAAATTTTAGCTATAGTGAAAGTTTGACAATGCTTCATCCAAATGAAGACTAGGTCCTAGAACTGGAAATGAAGAGCAGTTTAAATTAGTTAATGGTGTTGTTCAGGAATGTTGATGGCCTGTTTAAAACCACAAGGTAATAACCTTATTTTGCATTTCAGCTATTGTTAGAGATATTTAAAGTATAAAAAACAGCTACAACTTACAGCTGTAGAGCTAGTAGATGCCAGTTTTAAAATGCTATAGAAAGAATACAACTATACCCACACTGGTTTTTTTCTGTGCCATGTACAAACTCACCCACTGATTACTTCTGGAAATTCTGGAGAAGCTGTTTTACAACAGTATGTAAGGGATTCTAGCCCACTTTTTTGTTGCTGGTATTTATTAATCAGGTCCATCAGCACTGCCTGGTGCCCAATCTTCTTCACCAGCTGCTGCACCATACGATCATTAAGAGCCAGAAGAGCTGCTCCACTTACTTCTTCTTCTGCAGATCGAAGGGGATTAAAGAATTACTGTAAAATAACTGAAATAACTTTATAGATACAGTAACATTCTATATGCCTAAAAACATGATGATGGAAGACAGGTCAAAGATAAGGATGCTTTCTACTGCTGACGGTCTTCTTCAACTGCTAAAAAGGTGATGTTTTAGCTACTGTCCTTTCCTGAGCAGTGCCAGGAGCCCTAGTCACTGGCCAGATACCTTCCCCTGACAAAAAGCAAAGTCTGAGACATACAGAAGCAGCGAGCTGACTATTTTAATGCTTTAAATCAGGCCTTGCCTAGACCACAGCAGACTGTAACTTCATTATTGAAGGAAAGCAAGCTTTTTAAGAGATCACACAAATTGCCCATTCACATAGCAGTTTCTCATGCATTCTTTTCTAGAGTGTTTATATACTCAGATATAAAACATTCACACGCTACAGTTGCATTATTTCAAAAGAGTTATACAATATAAAATAGGCCCTGTCAAGCCTTTTAAACTGCCAGCTCTGATTCGAGAAGAGGCATCTATTTACATACAGGCTTAATCTCACCCCCCCAGCATTTCTCAGAGACTTCATGCTAAATCCGCACACTTATTTTGATTTATCAGATCTATGTCAGTTCTCACCCTAATAAATTTCTGTAAGAGTCTAAAGTTAGCATATATATACATGCCCCTAAACAAGGTAGGCAGTGCCAACTAAAGGCATAGAAAGAAATACTAAACAACCCCCCACAAACAACAAAAATGCTTACCACGAAACTTAGGAACTAGTTCTCCTAAATTTCTCTGTCTCAACCAGTTGCAGACTTGATCAACCGACCAATTTTCCATCTTCAGGTATTCCAATGCTAAATTTCACTGTGAAATGAAAAGAGAGGATTATTTTTATGCTGAACTCTAAACTGAACTCCAACATTTCATAGGAAAAAAAATGCACTTAGCAAATAATGTTACATTTACATGCTCTGAATAAAAATAACGCAAAATAATCCAACTAATGCCTGTTGCAAGTAGCAGTTTCCTTAGTCCCTCTCTTCACTTCCTCTCCCTTCCCTGCTTTCCCTCTGCTCTAAGAGGCAGCTTCATTCCTTATAAAACACAACCTGCTCCAGTACCATTAACACCCAGGTTTCCACACAGAGAAGAAAAAAGGTGTGAAATTCACCACCACCACGCTCATCAGGAAATGGCTGACATTTTACAGAAAGAAAAAAAAAACAACAAAAAAACCACCATCAGATAAGAGTCTGTCACATACACGTTGATAGTAAATCAAGCACCTTAACCCTCTCTGCACCACCAAGCAGGTACTCAAGCAAATACTTAACCCTCAATTACCAACAATTAAGGGCAATAAAGCTCCTGGAAAATGGAGGGGAGGGGACTGCTCCTCCTGTGATTTGCTAGTCCCAACCTTCAGGCTCCAGCCCTCCCTGGGGAGGTACAGCGGGAGCGCGGGGAGACGCTCCCCGGGAGCCGGCGGGGCCGGGGCGCGGACCCCGAGCCCCGGGTGAAGCCAGCACGTACCGTGTGCCCCTTCCCCGAAGGACTGGCTTGAATCGCGAGGGGGGTACACCGCATACCAAAATCAACAGCAACCTCCTCAAGAGAAGACTACTTCTAAGACAAAGCTTGTCCTACTCTGCCAACTCCTTGACAGCTGAAAACTCTCTCCGAGGCTGATTGTCTTCTTCATGTGTTTTAGCTCTACTACAGAAAGGAGCACCAAGTGCTCCATGACTATGCTTGCAATCCACAGAAAACAACGTCAGAGGAAATTATTCGAGCAAGTTTTTCAGATGACAGCACGAGTGCCTGGCATCGTTGGCCAAACGTTTCCTTGCTTCAAAGACATCCGCGCACATACCCTGAAGCCTCCAGTGACCTCCAGGCTAACATGAGGATTCACCCACACAAACCTCATCAGGATCTGGTCCGCTGCACTACAAAAAGATGTGCACCGTCCTTGACTAAAAACATCTCCGTTTTCATCCTTCAAAAACAGAGACCCCCAAAATGATACACTTCAGCTTATGCTCTTGTGCCAGTAGACTTCAACAACTTAAAAGGGTTAAGTTTAAGAGGAATGTCTGTCTGAATTACATGAGTGGATTTAATTTGAAATGACAACAGTAGCCATACAACTCCTCCCCCAGGCTAAGCAGCAATAACAGGGTGTGAAAAGTCATTATTTGTTGAGAACTCTGGTGTAAATTAAAAATCACACCTTCCCGTCACACTTCTTACTTCCTTGCAAAGAGTAGGGGAAAAAAAAAAAAAAGGCTCCAAAAACTTGAAAGATAAAACCGAATGCAAAGCAGAAAGATACTCGCCTTATCAACCAAGCACTGTAAAAGTAGAGAGATACATTAAAATGGTGGAAAGGTCACTGCTTCATCCTATAAGAAGACTAGCATCCTAGAACAGTCCTGCTAACGCAGACAAGCAGATACCAACGTTTCAAAAAGTGTCAAGCAAACTACAGCCATGCACAACAATATGCACATTTAGCCCTGTGTGGCTGACTCTACAGCAAAAAGTCCATTTGCACATGGAAATGCAGGCTGTACACTTTAGGGGGAAGGAAGTGATGACAGTTTAGAGGCTGTTTTAAAAAAATCAGATTATCTGTATTAAGGGTCACTACACACAAATACTTTGAACTGCTTCTCAAAAGTGATTTCACTTACTTGCATATACAATAGATAAAGGAGCTAGGAAAAGAGCACACTAGTCTTCTAGGAGCATTATGAAGGCAACGAGAAAGACTGAGCATGGATGCTGATACTTGTCTTCATTAATGATTCTATTTGTTACAGTAGCATCAAAAGACTATCCAGCGAAGGGTCCCCTGTGCTCAGTGTGGTAAAACACATGAATATTTATATTATTCAATGAACTCTTAGAAGTCAGAACAACAAAAAACCAACAATGGCAACATTTTAAAGACAGACAGTATTTTAGCAATTTACAGCATAACTTCAAGTCAAGTTCAGAACAGTTCTGAGTGTGAGTGATCCCTGTTCGCTAATAAATGCAGCCAATCACTGGGACCCGTTTCTTCAAACACACAGGGTGAACATCTATCATTAGGACTTAACCAGAACTGGTTAATGAAATTAAGTAATGAAATTAATGACAATTAATTTTCCTTAGGATGAGTCAGGACAACACTTGCTTGTACTGTAAAGTCCTTCAAGGCTGAAGGATGAAAATTTTGGGTTTTAATCAGATCAAGCTAAAGGCAAAAGTCTATGGTACAGATTTCTGCTGATGTAGTTGGTTAAACAATAGCAAGAGATGAGGTTCCTGACCAGCACGCCTGTGCTGGCAGGAGATCCGTACTGAGCGTGCACTAATTTACCATGCAGCTTGTTTTACGAGAAGATATAATGACCTACCATCAACTTGACGTGACACTTCTAAATGAATAAACCTATATGTCAAAACATTTTAGACAGGAAAAGTGAGTTGTTATATCTACTTTACACGTTGATTTGTGAGAAAGAGTCTATGGCATCACGGGCTACAAATACATCAGCCTTTAACAGGCCTCTCCGTGGATGTCACTGGGGTCAGAATTAAGGTTAATTTTAGTACATTTTAGTACAAGAGTGAGGAATGTGATGCATGGACATCTATACACAACAGCTATGTGGCGCATTTTGTACAGGGCCAGGTCTCAAAGTTGCAAGTGTGATGAGTAGGAATTGATGCATACCAAAGACATAAGCGAAGTATCCTGTATGCATTTTTTTTGATGCTACGATATTTTGTTTTTAACTTTGTATGCATTACAGAGACTTTATTTTTTTCTTGCCACTTACAACCAACCTGTTTTTAAAATAATTAAAATTATATTCAAGCAACTTTATAGAAGGCAGAATATGTCATCTTGGATCCAGTGCTGAGTTATCATGAAAAGAACATCAATTGTCCACAAACCTTTTCAATAATATATAGGGAAATACTCCAAGAGAGCACTTCCCCCCCCCCCCCAAGAAAACAAAACAAACTGATAGATGAGAT